CTTTCAAAGATTTGGTTGAACCTTTTAGCTACTATTCTAGACTCTATTAAAAAAGTTAATTGTAATTGATGATTATTACAGTTAAAATTATTGGTTTTTTTGGTTTTAAGAAAATCATAATTTTAGAGATCTGTGTAGAATAAACCTAATTTTTAGGAAGTCTCCTCTGTTTTCACATCTCCTAGAAAGTATTTGAGTAATTCGATTTAAAGATATGACATAAGATCCTTAATTGACTAGTAGTCAATCTGAATAAAATCATTCATAAATCTATCTTTGGATTGAATTATAGGTATTGTATACGACTTAATATAGATCGGTTGATTCTCAGGTTTATAATCATTGTTCCAGTATTAAATTATTTTTTAAATAGCCATTTCACCTTATAGATGCAACAAAAGTGATTCTTCATTTCTCACTTTTTTTTTCTCATGATCGAAAAGAATATATTTAACTATATCTTTGAATAATCCCGAAAAAAAAAACTCTCCAAGTAAAATCTTTGAGTAAAATCAAATCTAGAACTAATTCATCATGTAATAGATGAATGTATGATAGAGTGATATATTAAGGATCCATTCTTAAAGGTTTTTGAAAGGTCCAAAGTCATCAATAGGTATAGTTATCCTTTTATACTTCAAATTTGGATAAAATTGTTATTTCATTCTCAATTAATATGAAATATCCTGGATATTTGTCTATTGACAACTTTATATTTGTTCTATCAAGATCTTGTGATTTGCAATATTATCTCGTTGTTGCTAGTTTAATACTATCTCATATTAATAGTTAAAATCATTCAGAGATTCATCCTATATTATTCCTACACATTTAACGATTTTGATAGTTTCTAATTTGTCTTAATTATGACTATCTATTGGGACAAATGCAGTTAAAAAGAATTTTTGCTAATCTCCACCAATGATTGTTTATTATTTAGAATCTATAAGCCTCTCCATTGAAATAAAATCTTTTCTAAAATTCAAAAAATTCTTGTTATTCTATGAAGTTAGCGAGGGTGAAATATATTAAGGTGCAGAATTTGTTTAGCTAACAAGATTATCATAATTTAAGAAGTTATGCAAGTTTGTTATCTTTTTCTTCAATAGAAACTCTAAAGTCCTCAAGAATATGCTGTTCTCTGCAAGTTTTTTCTTTTGATATGCCTTATTGTCCAAGACCATATTCAGTTTTTCAGATACTAAAGTAGGGAAAATGAGAACTGATCTATAATACAATCTATTTCGATATTTTTCTTCGAATGTAAATATCACATGCTTCTCATTTTATCTCATTTTCTCGAACTAAGGTATCTTGCTAAAATCTTTATTTTCTATTTCTTTTTTTATATCGTATTCTTCAATTTAGCTTAGTTTCATTTTTGCTTTTTTGATATTTTCATACAACTCTGCTAAATGTTTTTCAACCAGATTTTAAGCACTCTATACAAGGACATGAGCTTTGCTACTATTTATTTTAAGGAATTATCGAGAGATTTCTTTTTCCTTAATGAGAAAGATATCTTGTCTAGGCTAGACTTTCTTTTGGCAGCATATTAAAGTTTATGAGTTCTCAATAAAGTTTTAGAGCTGCATTTTTTTCTCAAAATGATTTTTAGCTGATTTTTTCTTCTTGAATTGTACATAGATTAAGTTTTTGAAATCTTCTAAATCATTATCGCTGGATTCATTGTTGGCGAACATTCTTTTCAGATTAATATATAGTGGCAATTTTTAGAAATTATTAGTATCAATTAGATCCTGATCCTTTAAATCAATGAAAAATATTTTACTTTTATGTTCCTTCAAAATTGTAAATAGACTAAATTCTCCACAGAAATGGATTTAATTTTCTGATTAATAGCATGTTACTTACTAATTATTATCTGAATAAGAAGTTTTTTAGAAATTTTTATCTGGACATTTCATGATATATAGATATAATTGAGTTGAATTTTGGTGTCTAATATAGTACTTAACGCTAGAATAATTTGCTTATTGAATATCAAAGTATTCCTCCATTGCTGTAATCATAGATTAATACTCTACATTTAGGTTGGCTTAATTTAAAAATGGTTCAAATCCTGATTTATTTAAGCCAAATTAATTTTCTTCTAGGTTTATTAATTACTTTTTCTTCTATTCATTTTTTAAAACGGAATCTATTCCTACTAACAATTCTTTCAAGATTGGTTATAACTGAGAAATATCTATGCCTAGTTAGTTATTTTGACTTTAAAGATCCATTTAGAAATTATTTACTTAGTCTTAGTCTTAATCAATAATCATATTATTCTTTATTAGATTTTAAATCAATTCTTTGAAATAAAGCTCGCCTTAATGATAGAGAACTCCAATTATATTATCAAAGAAATCAATAATATAGTCAGGAATCTCTAGGAGTTTCCACTGTACATTTGATAATTTTTCTATCAGATTTTACTCATAGATTTTAAGTATCTCCGGTACTATTTACGATAAAGATATCGTTTTTAGCAAGCCACAGCATTTTTTCTCCATTTTATAATTATTATATTGCTTGATCTTGAAAAGTATTTTCTAGCTGATTTAGTTTTTAATGACCTCATTCAGGAATAATTATTCATCAATATTTCGGTCAATTTATAATAACTCTTTCTAAATATTTTGGTATGCTCTTGTTCTTTTAAAGTAATAGGTGTTCTTCTAAGTTATTTTCATAATAATTTCTATTTCCAATTCGTATAGCTTTGTAATAATATCATCGTAATTTGGTGTATTCCATTCTATAACTTCATAATTTATTCCCTAAAGTAATAATTCTAAATCTTATTGGGTCAAAAATTCAGTTTATTAGTACATATTGTTAGCTATCTTTTAAAAATTAGAAATATTTTCTATTTCCATCTATTCATATTATTACTATGTTATCGGCCATATCTATTGATTTGATTTATTGACTGTATTAAATGATTCTAATTGGTTTAAGCTTATAAATCTATCTTATGCTAGATGAACAAATGATATAATTCTTGGAAATTACTACTTGATCTAATTGTTAACCATATAAGAGTAGAAGTATTCATTTATTATTGCCTGAGTATCTTAATCTAATTATTGTGATAAAGCATCTTCATAGATTATGTAATTTATCTCTTCGATAGAAATAGTTCCATGCATAAATAAATGTAGCAGCGCTTAATTGCTGGACACATAAACTTTATCTGAATTAGGCTAATTAAACTATTAAACTAATTGTTTGAAGTTTTTAAATTCATTGGCCTGTTGAGTTGTTATTTATTCTGTCTAAATATGAAATTATTCTAAAAGAGTTTTGCTGAATTCAACTGATCGACTTGATCTTGGACTAATAATAAATATCTTTTAGGTTCCTTTAGATAATACCTTCAATGCTCTCACAATTTCTGCAATAAGTGCTAATTTTTCTTATTCTTATTTTACTATTAATAAAGCACCATACTTACTCTGTCGAAAACTAATTATTACTTTAGATATTAAATGCTATCTCAAATATCTCTACCAGCTTTCCTTGGTCTCCTCTGTTATCTATGAAATTTCGTTTTCTTTTTCATATTCCAATTACTATTATTATAATTCCTTTAAATCAAAATTCTTTTGTTTATATACGTTGGAAAGTAAAGTAGAATGAAGAGGATTAGAATCAATTGATATTTTGTTCCTATTTTTGCTAGAGTTATAAGTAATATTTTCTGCTCTTAATATTTAACCGAAATTGAATTTAGGGTAATGAAATGGTGTATTCCATGTTGGAGATCATGTGGGTTAGCTGTTTGAAAGACTTTCAATTTAAGATAACTTATCATAATCATTATTCGTTATATCTTGAATATTTGACATTAATGGCTACGAATGGTCATTGATTTGATAAGAAGTTAGTATTTTAAGCTATTCTTCAATTTTCTGTTATTCAGACTTATAGGCTAATTGATTTTCAGATTTCTTACTCTGGTACTCAGATAGTATATACTTGGTTGGAATCTTTTTCTTGCTTTATCCGGAAATAATACTGTTGTCTTTAGTACTTTAATTAGCCATTTACATCAGAAAATAAATTTTAATAAAGTTTAATCTCTCATTCTGAGATTTTATTAATTTTATTACATGGGGTTTTGGGGTTTTGGGG